GCTGGTCCCGGCCCCGCGGGGCTGTCGCGCCCGGCAGTGCCTGGCCGCCCCCGCTCTGCTGCCGGTGAGAGAAGGCTCGGGAGGGATCTCAGCAAAGGGGGAATGCCTCAGGGGTGGGCACGGAGAGGAGAGTCGGGCTTTGCTCACTGGTGCCTGGGGACCGGAGCAGGGGCCGTGGGCACACACTGAAACGCTGCCTGAGCATAAGGGATCGCTTTTCTCTAAGGGTGGCTGAGCACACGCTGGCCAGGGAGACGCTGGAGTGTTTCTCCTTGGAGTTATTCAAAGGCTACCTGGACATAGTCCTGGGAAGCCAGCTTGGCTTGTCCCTGCTCGAGCAAGGGAGCGGGACCTCCAGGGATCCCTGACAACCTAAACCATCCTGTGACTCCTGAACCCTTTCTGAAGCTTTGCTGCAGGTGCTGTGCTCACAGCTCAAAGTTACACAGGTTGCTAGGATCTGTATTCACCCACTGATTAAAAGACACTTTGGTATTTTTAACAGAGGCTGTGATTGTTCTGAAGAACTCAGACTTTGGAGTTCACAGTGAAAAGCTCAGGGTGGGTCTGATCAGAAGGCAGTGACGTTGCCAGAAGAATGAGCACCCATCATGGTGTCATCCAGTTTTGTGCAGACCATCTGTGTTCAGACCACAGTATCAAATCCAAATTTCTGTGTTTCAGTTTATTCTATATGGCACGGTTGATTACCCACTGAGAGCACATCAATGGACTTGGAAGCTAAAGATGAAGAGGAGGAGAGTTTACAAACAGCATTCAAAAAGCTGAGAGTGGATGCAGCAGGGTAAGTGAGAACAAAAAAGGCAATGTAATTTGTCAGGTTTTTATTACATATTTATATTTTTTTCTATTATTTTACATTTCAAAAAGAAAAGTCATTTGGTGAAACATTATATGCTCTCTAAGGTTCTTTGCTCTCTCTGAACTGCATCACTTCAGATGAAATGCAGTCATTATAACTGTCTAATATGCAATGCAGTACTTTATTACAGAGTGATTTTGACTAATATCCAACTGAAATCACACAGCAACTGCATGTAAAAATGAAAAAACTCACTTAAAGCAGTGAACCCGCTTTTAACTGTTGCAGCTGTAGTCACCTGGTGCAATACAGAATTTGTTTCTCTGTTCCAGTAAACACTGGTCCATGCATTATAAGCCCTTATTTAGTGCACAAAAGTTTGGTTGGAAGGCATCTGGACAACAGCACCAACACCTCAGAGTGTGCTGGGGAGCCCAGTCTCACTGGGAAGGGTCAGGCTAAATGTGAACTCTGAGCATTTCTGATTTCAGGGGATTTTGTGGAGTAAAATGTCTGCAGACATTCTTACACTAAAAACTTAGTAAGATACTGGGTGTACTGATAATATGTAGTGTAATAAAATTACAGTGATAAAATTATGCAGTCTAACACTCTGAGACAGTTCACTTGAAGTCTTTTGGGAATTTATAAACACAAGAGGAAGTTTTGTGTTGACAGTGTTACCTTGCGAATTCATCCCCACAGCCATCAGCACTGTGAATTCAGGATTTCCTCTGCATGTGGAAATATATTTTGCTTTGCTACTCATTCTCTCTTCTTCAGGAGATCTTCTGAGAAGTGTGGAAAAAAATAGCTGTTCTCTATCATGGAACTATGGTTATTAATCATAACACTTTTGATGTAGTACCACTGGCAGACTGTGTGGGCTTCTGGTTGATTCCTGATGACATCTTAGGCATAAAAAGATCTTGTTTTGCAGGCATGTGTTGTGAACAGCTCAAATCTTGTGACTAATCCGTTAAGATTAACTTTGGGCAGAGTGTTTGGGCTGTTTGATAGAATTTCAGCCTCATTTCTGAAAATTTCCCATGTTTCAAATCCTGCAGCCATCATAACTATAAATACAGATCCATGTGCTGAGGCATTTGTGTTTGTGATCTAGACCTCCAGGGTCAGATGATTTTTTCACTCCATGCTTATCTCAAAACCTTAATGAGAACTAAATAAATCAGTAATCTGTCCTTGCCTGTTGTACCTCATCCACTTCTCCACTGACTCCCCCTCAGCCTGCTGCTCCAGGTGCCTGACTTTGCATTTCAGAGGAGTAGGAGACTATCTTTAATGACTATTGTCTGACAAGAACGTTTGGAACCTCAGTTTACATTCCTTTAATGCGTCATTTTAGTACAAATAGGGCATGACATCAACCTCTGGGCATTTTGGCTGCCTTTCATTTTATCTCACCTATCTTTAGCCATTTGACGAGGCCAGTATAGTAAGAGGGGTCAGATAAATCTCTATATGGCCATGTTTCTACCCACTGACTACAGAAGGAGTCAGTGCAGCAAATTTGATGGGCTTAGCTGAGAATCCAAAGCACATAGGCTGAATGTGGGCCTCTGGAGCCATATGTTCAGGCATTTCTGTGATGTGGCATTTCCCTTTTTACCCAGATGTATTGCAGCTCTGTCCGTGGGCGACGGGATGATTCTCAGAACAACGACAAGAGCAGCCATGGATGGAGCCAAGCAGCAGACTGCCAGCTCCAAGGAAGCGTGGCATGGGTAAAACATGACACATTGAACCAGTTGCAGGCTGCTTTCAGTGCGAGTTGTTGTCAATTAGTTGCTTCAGGATATCTTTCTATCACAAAATGTTTCCATAACTGATGCGTTGTTCTTAAGGAGATTTATCAAAGTCTTTAAAAACAATACTGCATCTTCTCTTAGAGAGGGTTCCCAAAATTTTATTTTCTGTTGATTTGATCTGTAGTACTTTTCTGCAAGTCTTAAACCTTTGTGACCCCCTCTCACCTCACTCTTGGGTTCTTTTATTGCTTTTGAAGTACCTGGATATTCAGTGTGACTCTGCCAGCAGCTCCAACTGATCCAGGTTCTGCACTGCAGTTCAATTTGGGATGACAGAGTATCATCTGCTTAAGGCAGAAGATTTGGGGGGAAGCACCTTGAATAAGAAGACTTGGGGGGAAGCACCATGAATAAGAGTTCCTTGTATGTATCTTTCCTTTGGGGGAACCCGAATTTCTTCAGTCCTCCACGTTTTCTGTCAGAGATTGTAAGTGACCAGTCATCTGGTACTTCCAAGCAGAAAAATAATCTTATAAAAAGTTTTTAATCACATTTTAGAGGTGACTGAGCTGTATATTCTAGAGTTACCCACTTGCTCACCTGTTGAACCCTGCAGGTGTGTGAGAAAGCCTTCCCGAGGATCGGCAAGGGTCCCGCGGCGCCGGCGCTCCAAGTCTCCGGTCCTGCACCCTCCCAAGTTCACCTATTGCAACATGAAAGCCAACAACCAGCTGAAACACAGACCCCAGGCAGACACTTCAAAGGGTATCGTCGGCTCAGATGTTTTTGTCCCAGCAGAACATGGCACGAAGGACGGGCAGGATTCTCACCTTGAGGCCAGTAACGACAGAACTGAACCGTTGGAAGCTTTCACTGCCGAAGAGCCTTTGCAGAAGAGGGGGGAGAATTGCCCTGCTCTCTCCTCATCCTTTGAGAACAGCTTGCGTTCTAAGCAAACCTCAGATTTCCAGTCCTTATCCATGCTTAGCAAGGGCAGGCAGTGCCCTTGTACGGACAAGAAGTGCCAGTGCAAGCAGTGGTGCACCATGGAGGTGTACTCCTTCTCCGGTCTGCGGAGCGTCCTGTCCGAGTGCGAGAAGGCAGTCCTGGGAGTCCATGCCCACTCCCTCCAGAACAGATCTCCCTCTGGGACAGCCTCAGCAGGCTCTCACAGGTCTTGTTCTGAGCAAGCTCGAGCCTTTGTGGATGACGTGACTATTGAAGATCTTTCGGGATACATGGAATACTACTTATATATTCCCAAGAAAATGTCTCACATGGCGGAGATGATGTATACTTGACTGTAAGCAATAGAGAATCCTGAAGCAGAGTTTGTTACAATGGTTGGGCTAATTGCCTTGTCAGTGCCATGTTTTCACTGTTGTGTGTTTGATTAAATGTTTCTTTGCCTCATACAGTTTAGTTTTCTAATAAAATGAAAAATTAAATATAGTTTCTGAGCTTAGTTCTAAAAAGAATGCACTAAAGTCTCTGAATACCTTAACAAAAGCACACTAGATCAAATGAGCTCTGTTTGGTTTTTGGTTTGTGCTGTGAATATTGAAGCTCTGTATGCTGTTTTCACTATGTTTTGGAAAAAGCCCAAACAAAACCAAAAAACTTGTAGGTTGGTTTTTTTTTTGCTGATATTTTGAAGTGTTTGGAATGTTCATTCTTAATGTATCTCAGTACTTAGAGAAAAGTTTCACAGCTACAGCTCCATCCTCCTTATCCTGCTCTAGAGAGAAGGATGAGAAGGCATTCAGCATTTTGGATAGGATGAATCTCCTTTCCTTTAACACTAGCTGGCTCCTTTTTTATTTGGATCAAGTTGTGAATGCTTCTTCCTTAGGAATTTTTTGGGAGGTCCAGAACATGCGGGTGTGTACTTGGACCCTTCCTCAATCTAACTCGCTCACTCTTAAGCAGTTCTATTTTTCTGCAGATAAGTGAAGCTCTTAGAAGTAAAGATATATTTTGTTATTTGTGCTTTACAGATGGAATAATTTAGGGGGAAGTGAAGCAGGCTATCAGGTTTTTTTGGGCTGTGCGGTCTCAGAAGTGGAGAGGCTTGAACCATCTATACAGGATGTTCCTGAGCACATCTGATACACAAAGTGGTGTGGAAAGGGGGTGAAAAAGATGTGTGTATCATCCTGGCTTTGTGCTGTAGAGCTATGACATTCCTGCTGGTTGAAAATACTGCAATAAAAAATTCTGTTGCCGAGACTTGCATTAATAAATGTTTGTCAAAACCCAGCAACTTAAAGTCTGAATAATTTAACTTAAATTCATCTTCCCTCAAGACCTTTTTATTCAAAAAAAAACCAACAAAAACACGACAAAACTCTGGTTTCAGTGTCAGCTGAACATGCTCAACAACCATGTCTGAGTAAAATACTGTAATTTTTACTTACATGCTGAAAAATGAGTGGTCGGGAAGCCAAGGAGTCACAAGCAGTTGTGTATAAATAGATGAAAAGCAGATGCGGACAGTTGGCCTTGTATTCTTTGCTGGAGAATGCTCAGACATTCTAATGATAATCCCTGTAGATTTTATTCTCACCGTCCCTAAAATTTACAAGTCCAGGAAGCTGAGATTTAAAATCCAAATAAATCAAGAAACATAAGAATACAGCTATGATTAATTTTGCTCTTAAGTTTCATGCACATATTTAGCATGCAGTATTTGCTCTTACTCAAATTAAATGTGACCGATTGCTACATTTTCTTGTGTCACTTCCCTTTTCCAGCACTATCCTACAGTACCCACACACACTTTGGGTTTCCTCCACTTTCCCTTTCTCCCTACAGAAAATCTGGTATCATATGTACTTTGCTTTTAAACATAAATATTTAGTACCAGTTATCTTTGCTGCTGCTGCTATTTTTTGAAGGGTGTTTCTGCTTCAGCAGAGGGTATCTGCTCCTATTTTTATTCACGTTTTGGTTCTGTGCCCTCTTTAGAACCATGGGAATTGTTGCTAGACAGAGGGTTTTTCCCCTTTTAACAGTTTCCCTGCCTCTTTGCCAGCATTGATCCAGAATCCATGTGTGTGAAGCTGAGACACAGCTCTCCCACGTGCACAGAAATGGTTCTTTTAAGCCTGGTATTGGTTATCCCCACTCCTCACTGTATCTGGAGCCTTACTGAGGGGCACAGCAAGGCCCTTCTGCAGAAATGTGCAGTGGCAGCCTGGTCAAGGTCACCTTGGGGCAGTTTCTGCTATGCTGCTCTTTAATAAAGTGTGCAGAACCCCAGGAAGTGTCTGGACTGGTGTTACATAAACCCAGTTTGGATCAACAGTGTTGGAAGGGCACATTTTCAGTAGTGGAGCAGGACAATGTGCCACAGACCTGCTGTGTCCAGGGAGAGAGGAGGAATTGGGAAATGGTGGAGGTTAAATCAGTCCACAATAAACCCTGAAACTGAGGGCTGAGAAGTGAATTCAGGTTGCCAGAACACCAGGTGGGAGGGAAAAGCCTGAGAGCAGATTCTGAGGGCACACTTCCATGGTGTCCTGTGGAGCCTGGAAACTGCTAGTGAAGGAGGAAGGAAAAAGGGAAAAAGGACAATAAATCAGTTGTTTTGTTTTCTGCCTGAACCCCTGTTTTTGCTAGTGTTTAAGCACATCTAGTGCTGCCTGTGGCAGAGCAAGGGCAGATATTTTGGTTCTTGACTGCAATCGTGAGGTTTGCAGTAAATGTACTGGAACATTGCTGCTGACATTTGCACAGCACAGAACAACCCCTGGGGGTGAATGATGGGCCCTAAGAGAGGCCCAAACTTACTGTTTCCATCAAAACCTTCTCCGTTCAGCTCATCCATATCACTCTGATAACGCAGTGACTTTTTTCTGCTGCCTGCCTGAAACCTCAGGATTTATTGGAAAACTGCATCTTCTCTGGGAATGCCTGCACAGCACCTTGAGCTTGATTGATGAGTAGAGGTGCCCTGGTACAAACAGTGCTGAATGCAGCCCTACTGCTCCCTGCTGCTGCTGTACCTGCCCCAATAATCCTGGGGGTTTTTTTTCTGTGTGTGGATGCTCTAGGATCTGTTCCCAGTCAATCTACAGAATATGTCTGAAATGTTCTAAGAAAGCACCAGTGGACTTGCAGTGCTCCCAGGAGTTTGATCAGATCCCACCTCTCTACCTCCTATCTCAGCAGACCCAGCCTGTGTGCTTTCCAATAGCTTCCCACTCCCAGCACTTTACAATTCCTTGTCCCTCTAGTTCCAGGACTAGTTAAACTGAAGCAGGATGCAGAAGGGCACCCTGGATCAATGACATTTCTTTCTTGCCTTACAGAAGCCAAATTCTGAATCCAAGCTGAGCTTTACATTGGCAGACACCAAATCAGGCCACTGGGGAAAAAAAATCAATGGAGCCGTTTCTAGAGTCTGCTTTCCACCCTCTCCTTCTAAAACAGGGAGGGTTCTTCTGTGCCTGCAAAGTCCCGTGACCATCCTCCTGTTCTCTCATCTCTGTCTGTAACCTTTGCATCAGCTCTGAGATGAGAACCTCCCCTGGATTCGGGATTTCCAAACAGCCAGCAGCCACAATGCTGCTCCCATGGCACCTTCTGCCAGTGTCTGCCAGAGCTCAGCATCCCATGGGGCAGTCAGGGAGGCTGTGTTGAAGAGCTGGGGATGATCTCAAGGTCACACAAGGTCAGGGCACCCCTAAAGGGGGCTGGCACCCCTTGTGCCCTTCAAGCCTTGCTCAGTTTAGCAATCCAAAACCCAGCTTAAATAAGCAGGTCCCTGCAGAGGCATCGTGTACCTGCGGGACCCAGAGGGATGCAGCAGCCTGTCGTGTTTCACTCCCCACGGCGCAGCATTAATTCATCACAAAATGTACCGCTAGATGGGGCCTTCTGGACAGCGATCCAGGGAGAACAGCTGGACAACCTGCTCCCTGCCTTTTCTACACCCACCGCGTCCCCTTCCAGTGCCAGGAGCCCCCGAAGACGCTTGCGAGGAGGGGAAGCTGTGGAGCAGAGGGCAGGCTGGTGCTGCATGGGGTGCCAGCTCTTCAAAACTCAGTTTCCCCTTGTTTTTGCAGCCCCAGGGCAGAGGCCAAGCGAGAGCCTGTCTCTGTGGGTGACCCTGAGGCCAGTTCAGGGACTTGGGAAGACCTGGGCTGGGGGGAGAGATTGTTACTGGGGGCTGTTGCCTACGGGGGGAGAGAAGAAGGAGGAGCCAGGGCAGAACACAGAACTTCCCAGCCTCACCCCTCTCATCACCTTCCTGCACACCCCGAGGAACAGAACATCACAACAAACAAACAATTCATTTTCATCTCCCAGTCCCTAGAAAACTGCTCCTTGCACTGTGTTTATGCAGCTGGGTGCCAGTCTGGCCCTGCTCCCTTCCAGAGCTCCTGGGTGAAGCATGCCTCAGTTTCCCCACTTGAAGCAGCTCTTCCAAACCTTCCTGTTTCTACCCTCACCAGCCCTAGTGGTTCACGCTGAGAGCCCCCACACAGCCCTGAGACACAGGCTGGCTCCCTGTGCCTGCACAGCCTGTCCCAATCCTCACCAGAACCTGCCCCTACAACACCCCCAGCTGGACTGGCTTTATCCCCTGGCACTGGCAATAGTTCCAAGGCTGGGAAAATATCTCCAAGTCCCCAGATTGCTGGAAATGGGGCATGACAAAGCCAAGTGTCATAAAGCACAAGTCCAGATGTCCATGTCACTGTATTCAGCTGCCTACACATCTGTACCTGCAAACATCTGGTTGATGCTCATAGGGCAGCAGCTCCAGAATCCCCAATGCTCCCCGAGTCTCCTGGCCCGTTTGGAATTGTGACACACCTTGCTGATTCTGGAAGTGACCCCCAGCTGTGCCTACTTTGTCCAGCTTGGGCAGGCATCCCTGGCTCTGGTACACACCAAAGGCTCCTGGGCTCTTCCCCTGTATGGGCTACATAACACCCAATCGGCAGAAATTAATTTGTGCTCTCCAAAAGTAATTGAATACCTTTAAAGAGCCATTGCTCCTTCTTTTAGTGAAGGTTCCAAAGCAGGCACGACACCTTCTAGGCATTTTAAAGCCAGTGTCCATCACCGTGGCTATTTATTACACATCTGCCATATCTAAATCAGTAAAAAAAATTAAAAATAATAATAAAAAAAAATCTTAATCTCTGCTGAAAAATGTTCTTCAGGAGCCGCAGGGGTTGGAGCTGCCCCGGATTGCCGAGCTGGCAGGCAGGCAGGAGCCTCCGCTGCTGCCTCCTCTATTGAAGCGATGCCTGCACGTTTCCGTG